TGAATATCACATTAAAAACTTTATTAGTATAATTAGTTATTTAAGAGTTATCAAAATTACATATTTATTTCAATTGCCTATTAGTAACAGATAAGCAATTTGAATTACATTGTTGTGATTAAGTATTGATTTTCTAAAATCTTAGTTCGTAGTTCTAATATTACTCAATGTGGGATCGATGTCTAGGACTCCATTAGAGCCCTATATTACTTGAGCGATACATATACTTGCATTTGATAAGTGTGACTTTACCATTATTGAATATTTTATATATACATCTTTATCGAATTTATAACCGTTGTCAAGTTTTTAGTGTCGTTACTGAGGAATTAAATCTTCTAGCAGCAATATTAAATACTTGTATTTTTAAGCATATATAAAGTCACTGTCAGTTGTATACAGGTCGTAAGCTATCCCGAGTCCAAATTAATGGTTCAAAAATTGATGTCAACAACACTATGAGACTCTATAGATCTAACCCCCTAGCCTCTTAGAATTAATTTATATTTACAGAGCTTCAAAAACGATAAAGGGTTACTTCAGATATCTCTTCAAAAATGAATCTCATTCAATGAATCTTCTAGAAGCAAACCATGGCGCCTATGCCCCCAAGGGTCGCGCTTAGGCGCCAGTTCGGCTGATTTGGTAATTTTCTTCAATTTAGTCCATTTTGCTCTTTTTTTATGTATTTTTGCTCCTTTTTGCTTTTAAACTCTTTTTCTTGCACCCGCAACCCAAAACATAAAAATACCCTTCATTAAAGCATAATATCTTAAAAATTTGAGCATAAAATATACATAACAATAGGTAATTTTAAGGTGGATCAACATATCAGACGTTTAAATTCTTCCTTTAATTGAAACATTTTTCTATGGAATGCTTTCTTTCGCTTGATGGAAATGACAATATTGAGACTTGTCTCCGCCATCAAGATTTTTTAATAGCCTTGGCCACTCGTCAAACTTTTTATTCTTGATGTCCATTAAGATGTTGACATGTGATGTGTTTAGTGGTGTTTATTATTTTTTTGATAGAGGCTAACGATTTTTCTACGATATGAACCTTTTTTGTTGTGAGATTTAATTGATTTCTCTGGGGTTATTCTCGTGCATGCTCCCCAATAGCTTGAATTATTCCTCGTGTTCATTGATGTCCTCATTTATAGAAATTTGAGCTTCAACATGATGAATAAGAGCGACGTATGAGCGTACCGTCCCCCGCATCAGTGATGAGTAGAAAGGTTCTAGGCGAAACCCTCCAAGAAAGACTCCTCTCAGTAAATTTGGATTCACTCCCAAAATTTGGCGAGCTTCTGTGGAGATCCTGTGAAAGTATTCCTTGAGGGATACCCCATCATTCTAGCAAACTCCCGATTAGTGGGATGAATCTTTTATGATCATACTATTATTATAAATTACTCTACAAATAATCTGACAAACTCATTGAAGGTGTTGATGGTGCCCCTAAGGAAGGAGTAGAATCATATGTGAGCTGACCCTTGAGAGTCGCATGAAACACTTGATAGAGAAGAACATCATAGGAAAGGCGAATGTCCATGATGGTTTGATAGTGATCGACGTGCTCATATGGGTCAGTTACCCATTCATAGGCAACAATATTCAGGAGTTTGGAGTCCACTGGAATAGGGTATTAAAGAACCGCGTCAGCTAAAGGAGATGATTCTTGGAAGTTGCAGTGATTAGAGAAGTGATCCCTTATATTTAGACAGAACACTTCCCAAACCAAGTGTCGTAGCTCATCACAGATGATATCACTAGAAGTGATAATATGGCGGGGCTGTGTCAGGTTAGTCGGAGAGACAAATGAGTGAAACTTGTAATGTTGATGAGATCGGAGTCCTGTCTTGGCAGGGGAATGGTTTTATCACTACTAGAGAACCTGAAAGTGGGGTATTTTCTGTTGAATACTAAACTGGTGGTAAGTAAGCTCCATTGGATTGCAATTTTTGCTCCCCGAGTGGGAGTTGTAAAACCTCCAGTTGAGATGTCTCCATGCTGTGTACTCGGTCTTCCATAGAAGAACTCAAGGCACTTTCGTAAGTGAGAACACGCCTTTCATAGTGGGAGGATATAGAGGTCTGGAGCCCTTGACTTTGTGACTATCTTATGGAATGATGGGCGCTGGAGCGAGAAGCTCCGCATTTGCGAGTGTTGTGTCGGGTGGCCATGCAACAAGTCTTGTAAGTACTATAGTGATAGGAATGCTCTATTCTTACAGACGGTGCCGAACTGATGCATGTTATAAAATTTGCAACAGTAGAGCGATATTTTTTCATCATAGCGTCGTACGAAGATACAACGTGCACTCAGAAAAGAGAAAATAACTAATGATTACATTAGAAGTTTTTACGTGGAAAATATGTAAAGAGAAAAACCATGTGACCTGACCCAACTAAAGAGCTCCACTATAAAATGATGATTACAATTGCAACAACTTGTCTCACAGGCAGAAAATGGTTACAAGATCTCGCAAGTTACAATATTGACATGTGGATGAATTTATCTCAAGAAAGAGATGATAACCGATGGCGATTGACATTGGATGGTAGGTGGTGATCGACAACGATCGACAGTTGGCGACGGCTGTCGGCGGTGGTCGATAGTTGTCGGCGATGGTCGACGAAGACAGAAGTGATGTTGGACTTCAAATCCTTCTTAAAGTTTCAAGTTATTCCTCAAGTCTCAAGCTCCACTCCCCCATGAGAGGAGTGTTGCTCTATTTATAGAGTTTCTATTGCAATTAATGAAGAAATACAAAATTCTTTGATCAGACGACTTAGAGAGCGTTTGATGGACATTTGAGTGTCTTAATGACGTCAGAATTGAGCGATATTAGGCTCTTTGGATTTATTTTGTTGAGACGTACTATTGGACTGTAAGCTTACCAAATTCAACATCCATTTGACATTCCAAATGTGCCAAAAAAGCTTTCAAATGTGGCTTAATTGTTTGATCGGGGCTTGATTTGCCTAAGATTGGATTGATTTTGGTATAATTGGGTCTGACTCGTTGAGCCAATCAATTTGACTGCATATTTGACGAAATTGAAGCTCTAGATGAGTTTTTTTATCAAAGTCTGAATGTTTCTTACTAAAAATATTGCCTCATGATATGTGTCATGTCTCGAGATTCATGTCAGATGATGAGAATTCACTGATGGTGTATCAATATTATTATTAACAAATTTTAAAAATTAGAATATATATTTTAAAAAAATATAGATAAAATGATATATAGGAAGAGTGTAACATGTCATGATTCTTATCAAAATTTCCTTACTTTATTAGGGGTGTTACTGCTTAATGTTGCCTCATTTGACATCGTTTCGTAATTATAATTGATACTCGTGTAATTCCATATCTATAACTTATATTGTCATCCTTTCACATCTATAAGTGACATTAACACATTTTCATATTAATAACTGATATTGACATGCTTTTGTAAGTCTATGCCTCCTGACCAACAGGTCTTTAGATCAGTGACTTAATTGGTCCGAGTCGACTATTTTGTTTGGACACTTATTGGCCTTTGCTTTCGAAACCGGTTGGCTTTGAGAGTGACAACTGATCAGCCTTGAGGTGCTTGGTGCAGACATCCCTGGTTGCCCAGAGAGCCATTCGATAATATAACAGACTTTTAGTTGATCGACCATTCTTGAGTTAACTGACGATCTTCAATCGATCAACTTCAAGAGTTCCTGTAGTTTCTTGTCAGATTATTGATATTCGTCTCTTCCCTTCTAATTTAAATCGTTTGTTCTTCTCAAGAATTGTGTTGACAAGTTTTTTGTATACAAGAGGAGACAATTCTTATGTTTTTACATATCTTACTCCTAAACTTTATTTTTTTCTTACAAAGGAGTATTTTAGTTTTGGAAGGTTAAAATGGTAGTAAGAAAGATTTAGGTGATCTAAATGTAAAATTAAAGTTTAGGTGCTAAACATAAGTACATAAGAATTGCGAGTATATATGTAAATGCCCCTTATAAATTCTTATGCATTGATGATCCGCTCGTTCGGTTCAGTCCTAAGAAATTATTTTGTTTTTCGACCGCTTCCAACCCGACTCGACTCTCCACAATTCCGACTTTTAGCGGAGTTTTTCAAAGGGAACGACCAAAATTATCCCGACTTCCTGTTGCTCTCGATCTCCGAAATTCTGTCTGGAGTTAGCGGAGTTTTTCAAAGGGAACGACCAAAATTATTCCAACTTATTGGTTTAACTTAATATTTTTCGGTGGACGGTGAGTCCATGCTTTGAAAGAGGAAGGAATGCTGAGGTGAGACCGGCGGAGGCCAATAGCGCCGGAAGAGATGGACTCCTTGTCGTCGGCGATGCAGCCCAGACCGCCCGAAACCTGGGATTCTATGCTACCCGGCCCTGCAAACCGCAGCAACGGCGGCGCGGCCGATTGCAGCCCTGCTGGGCTTCTTGCGTACGGCGCTGGTAGCTCTGTCGTAATCGTCGACCCTAGATCCATGCAACTCGTCTCTGTCCTTCCCATGCCCTCCACTGCCCCTCAATCCTTTGGCTCCATTACCGCTCTTACTTCTGCCCTCGCTCTTGCTCCTTTCGTCACCTCCGTCCGATGGAGCTGCCAAACAGTCTCCCGCGATCTGTCCATTGAAGATGACCCGTCCAACTCCCACCTCAGCCTAGCCGTCGGGGACCGCCAGGGTCGCATTGCAATCTGGGACTTCCGATCCCGCTCAGTTTTCCTCTGGCTTGAGCTCGATCATTTCTCTCATGGAGACCGTCCCAAGCTAGGTATCCAAGATCTCTGCTGGGTCAGGTCGAACTCCTGGCTCGTTGCCGCCATTCATGGTCCCTCCCTCCTTGTTCTATGGAATGCTGCCACTGGTCGCTGCCTCTGGAAGTACGACACAACGCCGGAGTACCTTGTGTGCATTCGGCGCGATCCATTTGACTGGCGGCACTTCTGCGTTCTCGGCCTTCGAGGATTCTTGCTCTCCGTCATCGTACTTGGGGAGGGTAACGACGACGTGTCTCTTCAGGAGCAGCAGATCCCTGGAGTGAGGGACTCTATTGACGTTCAGAAAACTGAAAAGGAGTCCTCGGCGGGGTCAACAGCTCCGGCACTGGCGGTCTTCCCCCAGTTCTATGCGCGGTTGTGCTTCTCTCCGAGATGGAGGCACATTGTCATGGTGACATTCCCAAAGGATCTCATTGTGTTTGATCTTCAGTATCAGGCCTCACTGTTCTCTGCGCCGTTACCTCGCGGGTGCAGCAAGTTCATGGACGTGCTGCCTGATCCGGACATTGACCTGCTCTACTGTGTTCATCTGGATGGGATACTCAGTATATGGAAGCGCAAAGAGTAAGGCTGGAGACCTGTTTATCTTATACTGCTTGGTTTGTGGAGGGCAAAAATGACCTCAAATGATATTATAGCAGGATAAAACTGTGCATGGAGATGCCATCAGCTCAGCCATGTTTAACTATTTAAGGCCGATTTTGTCTATACGCCTTTATCATTCATCACAACTTGTTTTTCACTGTAGTTTATATAAATTTTCTTACAAACTTTCTAAATGTGTTGCCTTTAAACCTATTTATCTTAATCATTTTTTATGACAGCTATCAACCAACATCTTCCTATCACATATTCCACTCATTATTTTGTATGCCGAAATCACCTAAAGTTTATTTTATTTGGCCCCTTTTAATGATGATACTCTCTCTTTTTAATTATGATCATTTTTAATGCATCCCGTCTATTTCATTGCATCTTAGCTGATTTATTACATTTATTTGCTTGTTAGAGAATTTTTATAACATGTTATGTCTTACTTTATTTTTTTATTTTTTAGCTCTTAATAATACTCCATTGTTATCTAGTAATTTCGAGGCATCTCTTTAAATTAGCTATCCAATTTTGAATTTTTTTGCTCTGTCCTTATATAACTCCTCATTATTTGTAATAGTTCTGGGATATTAAAAAGTATGGAAAATAGGTATCACTTTTCTTGCATTCATTAAGCACTTGACATAGTAGTTTTTTATGAGTCAAAAGATGTTCATAAAAGGTGATGGAAAATTTAAATATGTGATAGTGGGTTATAAATAGCTTAGAATGAAAATGCAGCTTTTAGATTTAATCTGACAAATGGTCATTTCATCAAAGAAGTGTCTAAATAGTGTGAATTTTTCATAGAAAAAAAAACATATTTGATGCTAAATGGCAATTTTAACATTGAAATTATTGCCCTTTAAGTATAAAACACTACATGATAACCCTTTAGGAATGCTATGCTTCATAGTTATAAATCCTTGCTCCGTTTATATCTAAAAGCTTTGATGAAATAAATTTAAGGCCACTTGGTAATACTATGATGGTAAGCTTTGGAGTGTGAGCATAGATGGGATTGGGATTTCCCTTTGCAGGCATAGCTAGAGTAGATATTTCTTAAAATGTGCTGGAGACAACTGCACTAGGGACCCATTAATTGCTTTTTGCCAAAAGACAAGCTATTGCCTGCCATATTGAGCATTATTTTTTAATAGAGGCACATAAAGTAATCTTATTATTTGGAGGAGCATGATTTGAAGATTTACTATTGATAAAGAAAAAGACATATGAAGGATGCAGTAACATATATCTGGTATATATAAGTTGGTGTTCGGGGGGTTCCGTTCTAGAACATACATTATCTACTATATAAAATCTTATTTATTGGATCATGACAGTCAAATGACTACCTCTGATTTCATTGAAGATTGAAAAGAGACAAATATCCAAAGCAGCATTCAGTTTTTGGGGTGTAAAATTACAGCCAAGTTGGTTGGATTTTTTTAACAGTTGTGAAATGGTTCAGAGGCATAACATCAATAAATTTGCAAGCTGAATTATTTTCAAACTCTTCTCAAATCAAACTAGCTATTTCTACAATCTTTAGCGGGCTTTTAAATTCAGTCTATTGTATTACTAGGCTCTTTTATATTAATCTAGGTTTAGTTGTTCTAATTTCTGGTGTTAGATCAGTTTGCATTCTGCTTACTTGTGTGATACTAATATAAGTGAACTCTAATTAACCTCTGCATGTATTGAATGATCCTCTCTTAGTTGTTTCTTGGTGATGTCAAACTACTTTTTTGGTATTATTTTCTTACAAAAATAGACTTCCTGTGATACTATTGGTATGATTTGGCTAATTTGTGTAATGCAGGCTCTCTCTTTCTGTGTATGTGTACGTAACTACATACTTTATTGTGCTATTACACAAGGTGTTTCTCTTTCTTTCAATGCCTCATAATTTGTCTTCTCCAACTGCAGAGGAGAACAGGTGTATATGCTGCGTACAATGGAAGAATTAATGCCCTCCATTGGTACTTCTATTCCTTCCCCAACAATTCTTTCTGTTGTTCTCTGCCAATCAGAATCTGCTTTTCAGAATGTTGGCAGTTTTTCCATTGATTCATCTTCCACATCTTCAATTGTTGATTCTTCGACATCTTTAAATGTATTTGGAGGGATGGATATTGTTGCAAGGACGACATTGATCTCTATCTCTGATGATGGTAAAATTTGGAATTGGCTTATGACTTCTGAGAAGGCAAGAAATATCGGGTTGGGTTCCTTAAGTTTTGACAGTGCTGCTGTTGCTGGAGAAGGGTCCCTTATGGATGCACATTCTGGAACAACTAGTAATTATTCTACTATATCCCAATCAAGTAACGTCAAAAACTCAGAGCATACTAACTCCACTAATGTATCGAAGGCTGGTATTATTGATTCCATATCTTCAACGAAGGTCAATTGTTGAACTCTTTTAGAATACTATTTCTTTCTATGTTGTTAAAATTTCACCCCTTTCTTCTTTTCGGTCATTATAGAACCAGAACATGCCAACCATATCTAATAAGTTCCATGTATATGATCATTTCATTTATCTTTTTATGCTTATATTATTACATTATGTTCTTTTGCATTGTTTTATCTGTCATTAACTATGGTTCTCCAAGTAGAACATCTTAATTTGACAACTTAAAAGCTAGGTATTGTTCTTTGATATTGCTGCTTTTAAAATTTTTATGGATTAATTATGCTTTCCATGTAACCTTTATAGTTATGTATATATATTTATAGATTCCTTTGCTAATTTGGGTTTTTGGATGGGTGGAAGGAGGTCTTAGGTTTGTTCAAGTAAATATAATTTTAAATGCTTGTGCCTACAACTATTAATTAGCAAATGGAGAGCATATAGTATGAGTTTCTACTCATCTATCACCATTGCTTCCATCCTTCATAGATTGGGCATTTATCCTTCAAAATTCTTTCTCCATTCTTTTTTAATTGTACTGAGGCTTTTTCTTGACTAGATTAAGACAACATATGATATGTTTTTTATTATATATGTTAAACTAAGAAATATAAACTAGTAAAACTAAATACCCCCTTAGGAGTCATATGATATGTTTTTTATTATATATGTTAAACTAAGAAATATAAACTAGTAAAACTAAGTACCCCTTAGGAGTCAACATGACTTATACTCTAAAAAGTTTAAACTAACAAAACTAAATGCCCCTTTCAAATATAAAAGTTTTAAATGCTAATTTTCGCAATGATGACCGAGTTAATAGAATATTTCAACTAGAGGGATCAATCTTTTAAATCAAGATTTCTAAAACAACTAATCAAAATATTCAAGTTAAAATCAATCACTTAACACTTAAAGTGAATCCAATCCACCCTCCGCAACAGTTTGTTAAGGTTGACAAATTTCTGACCGACTACTGCTCACAAAGAGCAAGTATATCCCTATATTCACAATCCAAGCAGTTGCACACCAGTAAGGATGTGGCTTGAGTCTTCTATTTTCATAGTTTTGACCTCAAATGACACCACAAAATAACAGTTATGATCAGAGCCATCTAATCGAGTGATTTCCGCCAAATGAAAACATTATATTACGGTCATGAACCTGTATGTTTCCTAATGACTTTCTGTCATTTGAATTGTGAATCATAAGGGTACAATTGATCAACACAACATTCTATTAGCTAAGGTTGTGTCCCCTTTGAAAATTATCCTCCTTAGATCTATGAGGATCTCTTGGGCGATGCAATCCATGACTGATGACAAGAATCATTCTATCAGGTTGGGTCGATTATTTCCTTTGACTAAGTAAATCAGAGACCACAATGACCCAGGATGACGAAACCTTGGGATCTTGACTGGGTATCATCTTCATTTCCCCACCATCCACTTTAAGCTTTAAATTATAAATTTTATAATTTAAATTATTATATATTCGCTGCTATTATATGTTAAATATTCAATTCTTAATGACTAGTCTTAATTGAAAGTGCTCTCCCGTTGTTGGGAGGGGTAATTAACCATCTATGGGAAACTACGAACCCCAAATAAAAAAAGTTTTGTAAAATGAGGGTGAAATCTCTGGTAGCATCTTATCTGCATTTCAATCTGTCTTCTAAAAGATTGACCTTCCAAATCTCTTTCCACAAAACATAAAAAATAAATGTAGAATCTCGGGGAGCGGTCAGATTCTTCAGAGCCTACACTCAGTGTGACTTTCTCTTAAATCTAAATCTTCTTTTCGGGTGAAAAGCTGTTTTTGCACTTTCTCTATCTAAGGTCCTTATGATGAGATTGTATTTGATAATTTTCTTTTGAGTTCAATTCTAATTGTAACCTTAAGGGGCTTGTATGCCAATATTTGATGGTTTTGAGTGAATTAAGGATGAAATTAGTGGAGAGAGAGAGAGAGAGAGAGAGAGCGAGAGAGGGAGGGAGGGAGGGAGAGCTGTTGGGCAAATCTAAACTAGATTTTGTTGTGGTAATTATATCTCAGGAGCACATTTTAAAATTGAAAAGTAATTCCTAATATCTTAAACATTTGATCTGAATCATCTAAGGGTCTGTTTGGCGCAGCTGCAGATTGTCAGCTTTTCAGCTGTAGCTGCGCTGCCCCCGGAAGCAGCTGTGGGGAAGCACACAC